TAGGATTACTATTGACTTTTCTAGCCTACTTGTTGGGATTTTATAATAGAATTTTTTGTTGTTGAATTGTATGTATATTTTAATTATCATGCCATACTATTAGTGTTGTCAAAAAAATCGATACCTAGATATAAATCGATACTAAAAGTGGTATCTAAATTAGATATTCCATCCCTGTGGTATCAATATTATGGACTATTATACACAGCCTTCTTCAAGTACACCGACACGCACGACAGCCAGACGCTGTAAAGCAGCCTCCGCCTCCCAGACAAACAAAAGAAGAAGACGCCGCATGGCTACATTGCAATTTCCCACGCGAGTTGTCTCCGATCCAAGTTTTGTCTGCCAAATAAATAAACAAAAACATAAACAGCGAATTTGGGAGGCACTTCACAGCCCAACTTAATTAGCATACCAAGTCCGACACGTAGTTGTATATTCACGCTTACGTGCTTAAAGGAAACTCCAGTTTATTGCAACCCGGACTTCATTTCTAGCATGCAGTACGTTTGTTTACTCACGCGGACAACTTTGGTGCTACTTGGATTCCCCGGGGTACTTAGATCCATCGGCGAATCGCCATCAGTGTATATCCATATAACGGGTGCGGACGGGCACCCATGGTGCAGCCTCGAAATAAGACATTATCTGCACCAAAACATCTTCATGTCGAAAGGTTTTGTTAGGAATCATTAACGTGATTCCCCTGTTCGTTTGGAGCGAGTCTGGGATTTCTAGGCGTGAACAGACTAGCCGCGGCTAATCTAACCGGCGCTTGTAATGACGTCACTGCCGTGCGTCAATCTGTTTTTAATCAAGATTACCGGTAGATGTACCTTTGTCCTACTGTGGACAAATTCGTTTTCTCCCTTTATTGACCAACAGAGTTGTTCAAAAGTACAGAACAAAACATATGGTATTACATCTTATGACAAAAATGCACCTTAAACAGAGTTTAAGCAGCAAAACATCACTCTGCAAATAGTGTATATATAGTGAGACAATTCATGATTTAAAGTGTTAACTTTCACCAGTTTTTGTATGCACGTTTAAAAAAAATGCTGATACTTGAAAGGTTTAAGCACTTAATTCTTAACATTTAATTTTTGCAATATAAATTGAGGGATGTTATTTTTTGAATAAACTTGTTCGATAAATGGGTGTTTTTAAACAGTATCGAAATCGAGTATCGAGTTTTTTTTCCAAGTATCGAATAGAGTTTGAAATTTTAGTATCGTGACAACCCTACATACTATATGTCTGACTTTGTGAAAAAGCATATCAAAACATGCTTTTTAGTTGGGTAAACACCTTCTTTGGTAGAAATAAATGCAATGGAGGCAAAAAGTGGACCCATTCAAGATGGCGGCCCACTGCTATGCCAGCTCCACTACACACCGCCAGTACACGTTGTGTCTACGTGTATAATGTCTGAGGTTGGACCATCTTTTAAACATCAGAACCACCATAGTTCTTTGTGTTATAGTTTTATCATGGTGCCCCACGGGTTTTGGTTCCATATAGGGCTGAAACGATTCCTCGAGTACCTCGAATAATTCGAGTACAAAAAATCCTCGAGTCAAATTCTCTGCCTCGAGGATTCGTTTAATTCATATTTAATGAATTTGTGGCTTTGCAGTCGCCCGTGGTCATGTTTCACCCGGACTGAAATAAGTGACGCACATGCCCACAGGACTGCACACGCGAGTAGCGAATGTAACTTAACTTTCTCTTAAGCCATGGCGGACAACGTGGACCCCGGTGGAGTGCGAAAAAGACAGAAAATGTCCAGATGTGGGACCATTTTTCACGTCGTTAGGCGGAAAACGTACTCCAGTGTAAATACTGTAAAATGGATTTAGCCTACCACAACACCACATCCTCCATGCTGCTGCAGCACCTGTAAATGTCTCTTCTGCAAGCGGACTTGGAGCCTCTACAAGATAATGCTTTTTAGCCTGTATTTCTATATATTCTGCGGACACTGTGCGACTTTTTCGTTTGTAGCGCTCAGTTTCAGCTCACACCGTACATCTGGTAGCAACACGTCGGACTTAAAATGTGCTAAAAAATAGCATTTTTACACAAAACGTCGGACTTTTTATTGTGTTATTGATGTTTGTTGTCCTTTGGGATTGCTGCAGCAGGACTGGTATTTATGAGAGGAAAACGAAAGAAAGTAAATAAATAAATAGATTTTGTGATCAGTATAATTTGACAAAACCACGGCAAACATGCTTTCTCGACAATCCTTGTTATTGTGTGAGAAAAAAGTGTTGAAATTAAAACGGACGTGTGTTAATAGGGAACAGCCGGCGAGCGGTTTGCGCATGCACCGTGAGCGGTTCTGGTTCTGTTTGGGCCGCAGCCGCTCGCAGCGCTACTTCAACAGTTATCCTCCTAGTTTTTGTCTGGCTTGCAGGTTAGCAGATTCTCGCACGAGGGGAAAATCGGCTCAGGTTGTGTACTTATTTTTTGCACAGCCATTTGTTTACTGTGAAGTAAAGTTGAAGTGCTGAAGTTTTGAAAACTAATTTTGAATAAAACTTGAAGAATAACTGGCAATTGCTTGCTCATTTTAACAGGTCTTTCATAATTATAACATGCTATTTGATATAATGGTTTACAAATACAAAAGGGTAATTTATTAGAGTACTCGATTAATCGAAAAAAATATTCGATAGAGTACTAGATTACAAAAATATTCGATAGCTGCAGCCCTAGTTCCATATTGGTTTTACTGTTACCCTCGATATCTCACTCATCGCTGCTCGTTACTCTCTAGAGTCACTGCATGGCCTGTTGGAGGATCCTTGAAGGAAACCCACGCATGCATGACGAGAACGTGCCAACTCCATGTGGAAAGGCTAGCTGGGATTCAATCCAGGAACATTCTTAGTGCGTGGCAACAGTTCTGACTGCACCACCATGCAGTCCAGCCTAGAGATGAGATGGTTTGAGCTAAAAACTACAAAAACAAAACAGTTAAATTATCTGAAAGATTATTTATTGTTTAAAGACTATTAAATAACTTGAATTCTTGAGACTTTATTTTCCCCTGGGGAGGGAGGAGGGAATCCACAGCTGCTCAAATTCTCACTTAAAAAGCAAGTCACCCCCTACCAGAGTCTAACTTCACACCCATTTCCTGAAAAATGTGCCACAAGGAGGAGTTGCTTTGCATATACATAATACACACACACAAAGGGTCATGGCAGCATTGTGACATCATAGGGTACCAGCATACACATAATAGTGATGGCAGATTTAACCCTTTAAGCGCCAAAGTCGCAGAATTGCGACAAGCAGCAATGTTGGATTTAATAAGCCACCGCAGCAGAAACGAGCCCTCATGCAGTTCATACGTTAACTTCGGGGTGGCAGACACCTGTAACTTCAATCCAAGCAGCATTTGTGGGTGTGTTACTATTCAAACTTTTGGAGTATTTAGAATGTGAACCCCGCCCACCAGTCGCAGAGGTTGTCAGAGCAAGTGAGAGCGAGCGACTGGTAGAGGAAAAAAACAATGCCGAGAGGAATGTTCAGTGCTGACGAAGCTCTTCGTCTAGTACTGGCAGATTCGGATTCGGAGGAAGAATATTTCCTTTCTGAGGATGATCTGCGGTCTTCTAGCGAGACGGAAAGCGTGGCTTCAGCGCGCAGCAACAGGGAGTCTGTCAGCGATGACGCGGTTACACAAGCAGCCCATCCAGCCCTTACCCTGTCCGATGTCCCGCGTCACCTCCGTGGGGAGGGATGTGGTGGCTGTGATCGGGCCGGTGAAAACTCCGCTGGTGATCGATTCAGCCCCGCCTGTGTAAACCGCGGGAATTGCAGCAGGAGGGGGAGGCACCGCGGGAAAAAAAATCACTGCTAGCAGGGGGGTGGCCCAGCACAGCCTCAGTGACAATAATAATGATGATGGCTGGATTAGCGTGGGAGAAGAGGAACAGTATTCCAAGTGGATCAGGCATTTTGATGAGCCAGTTGGATACTGTGGAGACAGGGATCTGTCAAATTCAGAACACACTGATATTCCGTCAGTTTTTTTTGGGATGAGGAATTCTGGACCCTCATCACAACTGAAACTAACCGATATGCTCACCAGTATTTAGAGAGGGAGGAACTGATATCTAGCTCCAGATATAATGACTGGTACGATGTAACTGTCCCAGAAATGAAAGCGTTCATTGCCATTCTGCATGGGGCTTGTGGAAAAGCCTGAGATTGAGGACTATATATATATATATATACATAATAAACAAAATAAACCAAAGAAGGGATGAGTGAAATGTGTTCATGACGCTGAAGCACCAAAAACAGTGTTCTTGATTGATACGCAGTAAACATAACAAAACACCAATAGTCATAAATATTATATATATATATATATCTACATAGGAATATGTATATTTGTATCATAAACAATAACAACACTAAGACGAAAACATAAAAAAACCCAACAAAAATCTGCAAATGTGATGCAATCAAATATGGCTGCCACCTGATGACGTCACAACATGCAAATTATGTGAGTGAATTTGTTCCTATCATAAAATTTGGCTCATACTGAAGATTTTTCTAATTTACAATATTCCTCTCTCTCTAACCAGATTTAAGCTACAAGCTCTTTAAAGTGATATAAAAAAAATCTTATTTTACTGAAAAACTACGGCGCCTAAAGGGTTAAATTCAAACATGGTGCAGATTTTTTTCCAATAGGGTGCAACACTGACAGTTTTTGACAGAATATTTAAATTTTAACTAAGATGCACTAAATTATTGACTACACGTGTCTACAGCACAATTAGACACTCATTTATGTAGTTTATCCGCAAAAAAATGTTGATTTGAGGGTGATTTGCTCTTTAATGTTGACCTCCATGACAAGAGGTCACTAAAATGTGGAATCTGGCTCAGTGAGTGTGCAATAAGCACCAAAGTGCACAGTCAGCTGTTTTTGTGAAACCAGGTCACCCACAGAGCAAGAGGCTCACCTGTGTGAAGTAGAGGTTGAGCAGGCAGAGGGTGAAGAACTGCAGGCAGACAGGGCAGCAGTAGAGCAGCCAGTAGGCCAGAGGCTGCAGCTGGTTGGCCTGCATCACATTTTTAAAGTAAAAAGAGAAGAGGGTCGTTCGTAGAGCTGCCCACAGCAAACACAGGAACAAAAACACGCTCTGGTAGCTGAAGCGCTTGTGTCCGTAGCGCAAAATGAGCCAGAGCTGCAGGTAAACGAACACAAAGAGGAAAGAGTAGAGGACGGTGTATAAGGTGGTTAAACTGAGCTTCAGTGTTGGGGTGATTGCATCTCCGGATGACTCCTTTAGTGAGGTAAACAAATCCGAATCCTCCGCCGCAGAAAACATCTCCACTCACACACGCGATGAAGGCAGGGGAAGGCAATAAACGACACTAAAATTCACCAAGATCTGGGCTGAATTCACCAAAAACACAAACATATCCGAGAAAAAATGCAATAAAAGTAGGTTCTTCTGAAGATAAGTGTCATTTTTAAATTAAGCTAAAGGTGTCCAAAAGAAAAACTGTCAAAAAGTTCAACCGAATCGCGACAAGTTAAAAAAATTAACATGAAAGAAAGAAAAAAACACGAGAGGTCCCTCTATGATTGTCTGCAAAGCTGCTCTCTGCAAAAAAACAACTTGGGGGTGGGGGGGCTCCAAATCAGCTGTGATGCGGATTTAGACCCGCCTTCATGTTTCTCATGAAACTAGCTCTGCTAAGGCGCCATTTTGGCTCGCGGTGACTATCGCTTTCTTCAGAAACAGCTGACTTTTTGAGCCGCGGATTTTCTCCGGTTTCCGAGCTGCATTTCCTGGTTGAGGGAAAAAAATGTGCAGGCCCACCTCTCCAGACTCCAATTCAATTGGCTACTCTTGTCGCACAGCTTCCACAAAATCTCTCCGCTCATTAGTTTTTAATGATGTCAGCTCTTATTAGCACCGCCCCTTTGCAAGTATTGGATTGGTCCATCGTTGAAGTGAAATCAAATCCCTGTTTTGATTGGTTCAAATAAGCAAAGGGGTGTTACTAATAAAGAACGCAGTTTAGGTAAAGTCGCTTTGTGTTGTGCATTGTACACAGTTCATTACCTTTCAGAATAAGAGTTTCAATAGCTTGAAATATTAATAATCAATACGCTAAGCAAATTATAAATCCTAAAATTCTACTTTTTTGTTTTAAAATACACCATTATCAATTAAATTGTGCTTACTCATCTAAATCTAAACCTTTTCAAAACAGTAATGTTTTTATTTTGTAAAAATAACAGGAAATGCTATGCTAACTTGAATAGTATAACGCCAAAATTGTAGCGGATTGAGCATCTTTCTTTCCAGACAATAATTTCTTTTTTAAATGGCATGTACTGCTAAAATACTTCGAACTAATTATTTCTGTAACGCGCACTTACAGTGGGCATAAAACTATTATAATACTCCAAGTTTACCGAAGCTAATGCTAGCGACTTAAAGCTATGGGCTAGCATCCGGGCGGCTAACAAACCACTAGTGTTTTCATCAAGTACAAGGGACAAATTATACACTTTGTCATTAAGTTATACGTTAGGGAAACATATTAAATAATATCATAATGTCAACTGTCTACTTCAGTGCGGCTTTAAGCGTATTTTTGAAAGAAGAAATCTCAAAACTTTAGCCCCTGAACTCAAACTTTATCAGGTAACACACTGATTCTAATGATGTTCTCTCTTATTTATCACATTTTCAGAGGTTGATGTACTCCGAGCAGCACATTTAAATCAGTTTGATTGGAACTGAATGCAAATATAAGGACATATTTGATTTATGACATGTCTGAACCTCTAAAGGTTTATAAATAATCTTTATATAATCACAGCTTCAATTTCAAAATAAAAGCTTAATAAAACTCAGAAGCTAATCATGTTTTATGAAACTTTAAAGCCCATGAAACACAATTTCAACTGTTTATTAATCTTAACTTTTTGTTAATGTATTCATTCTGTAATTTCAATTTTCCAGAGATAAACTCAGTTTTGTCTTAAGGATGTGGGCCTGTTTAGGTGTTTTCCTGTTATGGATGAACTCTGGAGGATACACTCTAGATCAGATTGAATACACTCCTGCAGAGTTTTATAAAACACTGCATTTGGGGAAGATGATGTTCGTCTATTTTGAGCAGAACGGTAGGTTTCTAATGTTATTGCATATTGCTTAAAAATGCAGGTTTATTTACTGCAGAACTGTAGTTTGTTAATATTTTACCTAAATTCATAGACATTTTATCAGTACTGTTAATAAATATCTTTCTGTATCAGCTGATGTTTGCAACCAAGCTAAAAAGAAGAACTTGCTTTTCACATTTCAGTGAAATCATCACAATGTTTAATTTAGATAAAAGTGGGAGTAAACAGTGTTCATTGGAATATATGAAAACATTTAAGAAATAAAATATGGGTCTTGACGGAGTTGGATGATGTCTGGTTATGGAATATTTGAGGATAACAGGATTTATTTCCCGTTTCCAGTCTCTCCTACCATCTCTTTGTTCCTCGTGGAGTTAGAGAAGTCGGCGGAAGCTCTGAGGGATTATGGATTTCTGGTTGGCAAGGTTATTGTAGTTTTCTGGCCAAAAAGGACATTAGATAGTTTCCACAAAAGGCATGTAATAGATAACTGATTATTTGTCCAATCGTTTTTAGGTGAGCTGTGAAAAGGAGCTGGTTCAGGAGTACTGCACAGAGGAAAGATATCAGCACACTGCTTTTCTTTTCCGGTAAGTTAGACTAAACTTGATTTAAATCTATGCAGGATCAGCTGTTTTTGTAAAAATGTCCTTACCTCAAATGGATTTTTTGTTTTCTGGTGTGCTTCTGTGTAAAAGTCCTAAGTTATTGCTCCCATACCAGTTGTAGACATTTTCCAGAGCAGCCTTCGTTTGAAGAAAGAGAGTTTATGTCCTTCAGGAATATTTTTCCTCTCCACTTATTTCTCCAAACAGCGTCTGTTCTGGAAGCTATCTACAGCAAAAAACATGCTTCAAAATAATCAAGTTATTTATGTAAACCTCATCCTTAAAGAACTTTTTTTTTCTTCACCAAAAAAAAAAAAGGTTTATTGAAAGGTATGTAATAAGAATACATATTTTATTATGTAGGTATGTACTGGTACAATTTAATAGTTTATTGGCAAATAATAACAAATACATAATTATATGTAATAATTTATACTGTAAAAAACAAAATTAATAAAATTAGCACATACCACGTGTAATACTCAGATCATCCAACAGAGGGCAGCCAAGCTTTCAAAACAGCAGATTCTAGAGGAAAATATGAATCCTGTAAAAATGCAGAACTCTTTGAAATATTGCTAATAGATTGTCTTACTTTAAGCTTTATAAAATAGGTAAATTGAGTGACTTAAACGCTGTAAAGCTGCATAATTCAGAAATACCTTAAACTAAAGCATCCAAGATGGCTATGTAGTAAAAATTAAACCTGTTCAAAGCTGTTTATAAAATTAAGAACATTTGAGAATATATGTGTGTGTGTGTATATATATATATATATATACACACACACACACACACACACACACACACACACACACACACACACACACACACACACACACACACACACACACACAACAAAAATATAAACGCAACACCTTTGTTTCTGCTCCGATTTTTCATGAGATGGACTTAAAGATCTAAAATTCATTCCAGATGCACAATATTACCATTTCTCTCAAACATTGTTCACAAATCAGTCTAAATGTGTGATAGTGAGCACCTGTACTTTGCTGAGATAATCCATCCCACCTCACAGGTGTGCCACATCAAGATGCTGATCTGACATCATAGATGTACCTTATACTGCCCACAATAAAAGGCCGCCCTGGAATGTGTAGTTTTTTTGCTTTATTGGGGTCTGGGGACTCAGAAACGGTCAGTATCTGGTGTGACCACCAATTACCTCATTCAGTGCAACACATCTTCTTCGAATAGAGTTTATCAGATTGTCAATTGTGGCCGGTGGAATGCTGGTCCACTCCTCTTCAATGGCTGTGCGAAGTTGTTGGATATTAGTGGGAACTGGTACACGTTGTCGTATACGCCGGTCAAGCACACCCCAAACATGCTCAACGGGTGACAGGTCCGGTGAGTATGCTGGCCATGCAAGAACTGGGACATTTTCAGCTTCCAAGAATTGTGTACAGATCCTTGCAACATGGGGCTGTGCATTATCTTCCTGAAACATGAGGTGATGTTCATGGATGTACGGCACAACAATGGGCCTCAGGATCTCATCACGGTATCTCTGTGCATTCAAAATGCCATCAATAAAATGCACCTGTGTTCTTCATCCATAACAGATGCCTGCCCATACCATAACCCCACCACCACCATGGCCCACTCGATCCACAACATTGACATCAGCAAAGCGCTCACCCACACAACACCACATACGCTGTCTGCCATCTGCCCTGAACAATGTAAACCGCGATTCATCCGTGAAGAGAACACCTCTCCAACATGCCAGACGCCATCGAATGTGAGCGTTTGCCCACTCAAGTCTGTTACGGCGACGAGCTGGAATCAGGTCAAGACCCCGATGAGGACAATGAGCATGCAGTTGAGCTTCCCTGAGATGGTTTCTGACAGTTTGTGCAGAAATAGTTTGGTTATGCAAACCAATTGTTTCTGCAGCTGTCTGAGTGGCTGGCCTCAGACAATCTTGGAGGTGAACCTGCTGGATGTGGAGGTCCTAGGCTGGTGTGGTTACACGTCGTCTGCGGTTGTGAGGCCGGTTGGATGTACTGCCATATTCTCTGAAACGCCTTTGGAGACAGCTTATGGTGGAGAAATGAGCATTCAATGCAAGAGCAACAGATCTGGTTGACATTCCTGCTGTCAGCATGCCAATTGCACGCACCCTCAATGCTTGTGGCATCTGTGGCATTTTGCTGTGAGACAAAACTGCACATTCCAGGGTGACCTTTTATTGTGGACAGTATAAGGTACACCTGTGCACTACCCATGATGTCGGATCAGCATCTTGATGTGGTACACCTGTGAGGTGGGATGGATTATCTAAGCAAAGCAGAATGGTAAATGGTAAATGGCCTGTATTTGATATAGCGCCTTCTAGAGTCCTGGAACCCCTCAAGGCGCTTTACAACACAATCAGTCATTCACACACGCATTCACACACTGGTGTGGAAGAGCTACAATGTGGCCACAGCTGCCCTGGGGAGCACTGACAGAGGCGAGGCTGCCGAGCACTGGCGCCACCGGTCCCTCCGACCACCACCAGCAGGCAACGTGGGTTAAGTGTCTTGCCCAAGGACACAACGACAGCGTCAGACTGAGCGGGGCTCGAACCTGCAACCTTCTGATTACAGGGCGAGCACTTAACTCCTGTGCCACTGTTGCATAGAAGTGCTCACTATCACACATTTAGACTGATTTGTGAACAATGTTTGAGAGAAATGGTAATATTGTGTATCTGGAATTAATTTTAGATCTTTAAGTCCATCTCATGAAAAATCAGAGCAGAAACAAAGGTGTTGCGTTTATATTTTTGTTGAGTGTATTTGTTGTTCTTTTTTTTAAATCTCAATGTTGCATCTGATTATTATATTAGCTTTGGCTCAGCTAGTTACCGCTGTTTTAAACCCTTCCCTGAGGTGTTCCATGTCTGTATGTTGACAGGGGAGGCAAGGAGTTCTTGAGTTTTGATTTGGACACCGTCTTTGATGTCAACTCCATCGTGTCTGAAGTCCTGTTGTGAGTTAATCAACACTTGATATGATTGTTCTTTAAGTTCTGGACTTACTTTGAATTATTGACATGTGTTTTGTGATAATGGAGTAAAAAACATGGGGTACTTTTGTAATCCTAATATGAGATAAATAAAAGTCAACTTTACTCGTGTTTTTTAATGCATTTGTAGCAGTCTCTAGTAAGAATAAATGCTTTCTTAGTTGTTCTCTGGGGAACAAAAGCTC